TTGTCCAGTAGCACCTTAGAGACCAACTAAGTTTGTTCTGGGTATAAGCTTTCGTGTCCACACAAAAGCTTATACCCAGAACAAACTTAGTTGGTCTCTAAGGTGCTACTAGTCAATTAAAAAATAAATAAATTTCTGACTGCGTCAGGCCAACACGACTACCTACCTGATACTAGAGTGAATCCACTTGTGCACACTTCTCACTTAGTGAAAGCAGCACCATGGCACAGCTTGTGTGTGTGAAAGTCTGATGCTTACTTTTTTGCCAGGCAGTACGGAACATGAATATGATGAAATTGCAATCTAATCCTCACTTCAGCATGCATTACAGAAAATATTTTTGAGGTGGCAACTTAAATTGGGTTTTGATTCTCTTGCACAAATACTAAGTTCATGGTAGTGAGTACTTCACCTGTTGAATTTCTGTCTCTTGAATATCTGTGTAAAGCACAGGATGCCTGGCAGAATATGATAGCAACATGAGTGGCTGATGATTTCCTACCATTTTTCTAGAATCACCAAGGTATATTTTTCTGCCACTTTTTGAGTACTAAACTTGATGCTGTTTGAAGTCATTTTTGAACTGAACTTTCTCACCTGATGTGAAGGATTAGGACGTTTGGCCATTTTGTGTTTGGCTTTTGGTTGTAAAATTTGGGTTGTAAAATGCTTGCATTTACTTTAGAGACTCTTCTAGATAGAAGGGTTAAAAGTCCACAGGAAAGTTTAAAATACAAGGGATGTTTTGCTCAGGAAGTTTTGTAGAATGGGATGTTGTGCATGGGAAGGTCACAGGTTTATCCTAGGAACCTGGCAATTAAGGGGAAATAGAAACTTAACCAAGTCTCTTCTCTTCTTGTGGGTCGCTGAAAGGTTGGAAGGGGAAATGAAAATATTGTATATAAGTCATGCTGGAAAATAGGGCAATTAGAAGGCTGTGGAGTCAGAAACTTGAAGAGTTGTAGTTGAAGAGCTGTGTGAGAGAAAAGAGCTGATGCACTCAAAAGCTAGAACTCTGGAATGTGCTAGAGATACAGTTGAACACTAGAACAGGAAAGGGTCTGGAGAAAGCACAAAGGGATGCAAAAGCTGAATTGTGGAAAGCAAATACATCAGCATCAGCTGGGTTAGGGAATCAGCCTCGAATACGTATGATTGGATGCATTTATCTCTGTTTAATTTTTTGAATTTGCTCTTTTATTTTTTTATAAACCTGTATTCTAAATCCTTAAGCTAGAACATAATTTGTTTGGGGAAAATTGGGACTAGGCCTTGCTATTCACCTCACTTCTTAGTGCCTAATATCTACGGAGTATTGGGAGTAAGTTGGACCAGTTAAATCCCACACGGTCAAACAGCTCTGTAGTGAGAGCAACCAGAGAAAAATAAACATCTTCACTTGTTGGCAAATATGAAGTTAACAAGCAATGGGGGGGGGGGGTAGGTTTGGCTTGTTTGCTCACCTCACTTTCCCTTTCACAGATTTGGCTTCAGACCATGTGGTCACACCTGATAAAGTAAAAATAACAAAGCAACATTCAGTTCCCATATTGTCAGGGACTCACCTAGCTCTGACCATGAGTTAGTGAGCCCCATTGTAGTTAAGATGCTAAATATTTATAGAAGCAGATGGATGACTGTGAAATCTGTGCTTCCAATCTTTAGTAATGCTCTTATAGAATATTGTTTTTCTTATGCTCTGTACAAGCCTGATTTACAAAAGAAGCTCCTATTGATTAAATAAAAAGCATTTCACTCAGCATCATTTTATAATGAATTCCTGAAAAATACATAGCCACTCAGAAACATTCTTGGGGAAACCTATACAACAATCAACCAATGGCCAGGTAATCTCATACATACAATGTAAACTATATGCTCAGTGTCACATAACTTGGTTGATACAAACCTAAGATAACATTAAATTACTACTTGCATTAAGCCTATTAGGTGGTTGGATGTGCAGGTCTCTCAAGAGGAAAGCCTGGAATTCAAGATTATATAAGACAGATGCAATTTTCTCCCAATACATCATAGTATTTGCCATCACCCTGTGGTGAGAGCCTAATGGGATTTATGGCTGGTTCACACATCTGTCTGCTGCATTTTTGTTTTTGAGTTGTAGCTTGTTTATGCTAAGACCTATTGCTCACTACTGAAAGCATGTGCTATTTGCATAAGGGTCCAGATTCAAGCTCTAGAATCTTAATTAAAAGATCATAAGTATTCAGGCTGGGAAAAGCTATTTCCTGAGACCTTGGACAGCAGCTGCTGAGCAGAGAAAACAATACTGGGCTAGATTGACTAGTAAGCCAACTAAGGGAGCATCAAATTTCATAACAAAATGGTGTTGTGAGGGCTTGACTATAGGTCAGATTGATCTGACACACTTAGCTGTAAACTGAACCAGAAGATGGTTGCATGTATCACTTCTGGACCTTGTGAAAGCATCTAATACACATCGAGCCGAGGCTAACAGACTGGTATTTTTATTTTTTGTTTTATACACAGCCGGATTGGATGTAGCTAGATTTATATAATCCCACATTCAATGTATCAGTTTTCAAGAGGTATTCTCAATGTGAGTTTGATGTAATATGATCACGTACTGAACCATTCACAAAATCAGTTTAACATTAATACGAGGGAGGAATCTTTGTTGTATTACTATTTCAGAAGCCTATCAACCACTGTTAAATTATTATTTCAGTGAGTTTATCAGAATATATAATGTGCACTTTTTATTTTTAACAAATCTAATTTTACCGTATATTGTTGATAATTGATTTATATTGTTTTTATGTACACTGCTTAGGAAGTTTTGATTAAGTGGTTTATAAATTAATCAATTAAAACATGCAAATTCAACCCAAACAACCTCCCCACCCCCAAATGATTATGTGTACCATCTGTTCAATGCAATTGGAAATTTAAAAAACGTAGCTACTCCTACCATTACAAGTGAGAAATGCTGTGTTAGCTTGGGAGCTGTGAGAAAGTAGGTGATCACAGTCAAAGAACAAGTTGTAAAGCATAGTTCCTAGAGGACTATAAGGACTGGTTGGCTAAACCAAGTGAGGGTAGCTGATGGGTCTCAAACCCTCGGTGAGTTAGGAATTTACTCTTCATGTGACGACAGGCTCCAGCGGATCGAACAGATGATACCAATAGTGGGTCCAACGATTAAGAAGGCGGTTACTGCATGTGCTGTAAATGGAAATGGGGGGCAGGTGGGGCTCATCAACCTGGGAAGATAGCCCATCTAGGAGAAGGAAAACTCTGATCCTAAAACTCCCCTGCCTTGCGGCAATACTTGTTCATGAGAAAGCCTTCGGGAGTAAACCCCAAGAAAAAATCTGTACCCACTGCCTTGCAGGACATATTTGGGATAAGAAAAGGCTTAGGAGTAAAGCCTACACAAAATCCGGAATGCAGTGTCTAAGACAGTTGGGTGGCATAATTGTATGCCTCCTTCTGGCAACTCCTGCAGCCAAGCTGGTGCAAAATATATTGTTCTGCTCTGCTCTGGATCACATCATTGAGACCAAGAGGGGGGTCTTGTCATCTGGGCAGCGCAGGACTTCCATACACACTGCCCAGGCTTCCGCCCCGGGGAGAACACTAACGCAGCGAAAGCAACGCAGGAAGCAGCAGTTATGAGTTACCAGTCTCTGCAGCCCCAGCAGGTGCTGGGATTCTCCAGCAGTTTGATTTCACCCTCAGAGTTGCACTCCATTGTCTTTCAAGACAGATGGATGACAACAACAACAACAACAACAACAACAGGGATCTTGACACTTATTTTTTTTTAAATATCAAATTTAAGAAGAAGAAGAAGAAGAAGAAGAAGAAGAAGAAGAAGAAGAAGAGTTTGGATTTGATATCCCGCTTTATCACTACCTGAAGGAGTCTCAAAGCGGCTAACAATCTCCTTTCCCATCCTCCCCCACAACAAACACTCTGTGAGGTGAGTGGGGCTGAGAGACTTCAGAGAAGTGTGACTAGCCCAAGGTCACCCAGCAGCTGCATGTGGAGGAGCGGAGACGCGAACCCGGTTCCCCAGATTACGAGACTACCGCTCTTAACCACTACACCACACTAGTGATAAAGCGGGATATCAAATCCAAACTACTCCTCCTCCTCCTCCTCTTCTTCTTCTTCTTCTTCTTCTTCTTCTTCTTCTTCTTCAAAGAACCTCTAAACATCTTTGTAACAATACATATTTGTCAGGGGCATTACAGTATGAGAAGGGAGCTTTTGCATAGAGATAAGCTTCATTAAATGCCCAGAGGTCAGGAGCAGCGCTGTCACCGCAATGCCACACCTACACAAATACCCCAAGTGAAAGACCGAATAGAGCTGTACAAGAGACATAATGACTTCATATTCTGCTTGCATGATCAAATTCCAATAAATATATGTGAAAGTCACAAATATAATATGTCTTCAAGTGAAAAGGACAGACAGAATTATTGTAGGATAAATCTATTTTTAACTAAATTTAATCTCAAGAAGTTCACAAAGCATCCTTTAGCAACCAAATGAATATTAAATAAATAAATAAATAAATAAATCTGCTCCTTTACCGAGAAATTAGCATCCAGCCCATTTACAGCTGCAATTAAATGAAAAGGTAAGCACCTGCAACTTGGAAAATCTCCTTGATTTAAAGTTTTGAAAATTCTGCATTTTAAGTTAATTTTAAAATATGATTTTGTGCTAAAGCATGGGTGACAGTCCACCGCCTCTCACATGTTTACGTCAGAACAGGGCCTTTTTCCATCTTACCCACTAGTCAGAGGCCCAGACTCCTCTTCTGCTGTACCTTCCTATGGGAGCTGTGAGCAGGCACTACGGTGTAGGTGATACCTGGGGGTGTTCCACTGCACCTGGCACAAGGCACACTCAGCCAAGGGCTGGTGGAGGGAGGGGAAAGCTCTGGTATATGGGGCATACCTCCCATGTCCATGTGTTTACATACATGCATGCATTGAGAGTCCATGGGACTCTCAAGAGTCTCCTCCAGCACCATAATTCAAAAGCATCAATAAAGAGCGCTGATCGCCGAAGAATTGATGCTTTTGAATTGTGGTGCTGGAGGAGACTCTTGAGAGTCCCATGGACTGCAAGAAGATCAAACGTATCCATTCTTAGGGAAATCAGCCCTGAGTGCTCACTGGAAGTACAGATCGTGAAGCCGAGGCTCCAGTACTTTGGCCACCTCATGAGAAGATAAGATTGCCTGGAAAAGACCTTGATGTTGGGAAAGATGGAGGGCACAAGGAGAAGGGGACGACAGAGGACGAGATGGTTGGACAGTGTTCTCGAAGCTACAAACATGAGTCTGACCAAACTGCGGGAGGCAGTGGAAGACAGGAGTGCCTGGCATGCTCTGGTCCATGGGGTCACGAAGAGTCGGACACGACTAAACAACAACAACATACATACATACATACATACATAGGAGGGAATTAACGAAGCAGGTAGATTTTGCTGCTTGATTTTAAATTTGGCACGAGAAATTGACTGATGAAAGAATGTGTCAAAAATAGATCATGAGAGAAGAAAAACTTTGCACTGCGGGGATAACAAAGCAATTTTTTAAATTTAAAAATATTTCAAGCTGAGTCTCTATTTTTATATATATTCCAAAAAGAGTCAGATCTGTTTTATTTTTTCATAGATACACTGTATTGCAAATGACTCACTTGTGGTCAAGGGAGGAAAATCACTTCCCAGCTTGTGTAGAGTGAGATAAGCACTTGAACATAAACATTAATGCAGCGTATAAACAAATTATGGTGCTAAATTTCCTACAGATTGATTTAGAAGAGATGGCATAGTACTTTGGCATACCAATTTGCTAGTTAAAATGAAAAGGTTGATCTATGAGTGAATTAAACCATCATTTCAAACATGATCCTCTAAAAAATACAAATAGGACTATAAATAGACTGTAGTTACATTGTTGAGTAATGTGTTCAGTTATGCTAGACTACTAGCACTCCAGCTATGTATTAATCTACATTGTTTTAATGTCAGTAAATGTTTTAATCGGCTAAATTGTAGCTCACAGGCATAGTGCAGTTACCAACTATGGAAAGTACTTCTTAAACTTGCATGTTTTCATTTTATAATTTCATATCTTAATTTTAACCTCTAAGTAAGGACACCACATTTCTCAAAACTTTTAGATGTTTTAGGGGGTTATATTGAAGACTAGATTCATTGGAATGAGTGGGATTAGCGGATCTCTAGTGATCCAGGCTACTCTGGCCTCAGCCCATTTTCTCAGCTGTGTCCCAGCCAGCTGAGGTAAGCCCAGGGAATCTTAAACTGGTGTAACCACTGTAAGAGAGGAATTTGTGGGTGTGGAACCTGTGGGGACTTAGGCTGGATCCTAAACTCATTCAACCAGGTCATGTGGCCTGTTAATCTAGCATAAATTAAGATGGCAAAAAACAATGTCAGCTTCTCCCACATTGCCCTGTGCTCTTCGTGGCCTAGGAAAGTGCCATCCTGCAAAAGCTTTCTTTGCAAAAGCCATAGTACAAGCATTCACACAAGCCACATGAAAATGTTTACTGTATTTAAAAGGGAGAAATTGGGAAAGGAAAAAAGCTGCCCTCCTAGCTAACAGATGTCCCTATTCTAGCCTTTCATTAACTGGTCTAGTATTTATATTCATAAACAAACATATAATTCTACTTTGTGTTAATTCCACTTAGAACTATGGATATACATCAGGATAGATGGAAATAGTTGTATATTTCTTTATCTTAAAGGATAACAATAAACAATATGGTTGTGTTTAATACATTTCCATTTGTTTCTGTTTTGGGGTTTTGTTTTTTGTTTTTGTATAGGAAGTGCACATTATGGCCATAAAAGACCATGGCAACTGAGCTTATTTTACCAGGTTAGAATTTGTGCAAATCAGAAGAGACTATTGACCACACAAACACAGGGTAGCCTCGGTCATAGTTCTTTCATTGGATAAAATCCAATTGCTTTATGATCCAGATGCTAATGCTTGGAATTAATTTTTACATCAGTCGTGTTCCAAATTGTGACTTGTCCTTCCAATGATTCACATTCATCAGCACATCATTGGCAGCTGTAGGATAAACTGGTGATTAACCACTTGAATTTTTTACAGGGATCAGATTCCCCCCTTACTTTGGGATATCCTGCTTCTGACTATGTTGGAGAGTATAATCCTATGGTAATTCTTCAGATGAAAATTTTCAAAAGAATACAAGCAGTATATCTTAATCACCACAAGCCTCATCATCTACAAAGATTCTTTTTGAACTAAAGCTAAAACAACATTTGGTAGAAATGTGAAATTTAACAAGATCTCTGAATTAAAATTTTACTCATTTTTTCCAATTTTCACATTTCGGCTCTTATTAATTAATTAAATTTGTATACCGCCCTTCATCTGTAGATCTCAGGGCAGTTCGCATAATAAAAATGCAACATAAAAAACACAAAACACAAAATAAAAATAAGAACAAAACCAAAGCAAGACATTTATAAGGATATCTGATGTCAATCAGCTAAAGGTCTGGTTGAAGGTTTTCGCCTGGTGCCTAAAAGTGTATAATGAAGGCGCCAGCCGAACCTCCCTGGGGAGAGCATTCCACAAATGGGGAGCTACTGCAGAAAAGACCACCCTCCAGACATCTCATGGAGGAGGCACATGAAGAAAGGCCTCAGAGGATGATCTCAGGGTCTGGGTAGGTTCATATGGAGAGAGGCAGTCCTTGAGGTATTGCAGTCCTGAGCTAGAGGGATATGTTTAAAACTCTTAGTTTTCAAGTCTCCTTGATAAATTTTAAGGCAATGTTATGTGTCAACGTGCCAACTTCAATACATTTACAGTAGTGGCCTTTCTTCTTCCAAAATCCCTGGCTCTAAACAGCATCCATAACTGGAATGGTAATGTCTGTAAAATTTTAAAAAGTTTCAACTAGAGAGCTTTTCTCTTTTCTCTATGGTGATGATGGGCTATTTTCCCAACAATAGGACCCTTATCTTTCATATGGAAATCAAGCGATGGTAAATATCAGTTTTGCAATACTTGACCTGTCTAAATAAGCAGGAGTGTGTGTGTGTGTGTGTTTAATTGCTACTCTTAACTCTTAATCTCAAAAACTGGAGATTGGAAATTACCTTCTAAACTAAAAAGCAGGGATCCCCCTCCCCAAACACACTGTGATGTTATTCTGTAGAAGTTTTTTTGATTGCTCTCCATAGTCTTTTGATTACAATTGGCATTTAGAGAGTCAACCACACACCTTTCTCCATGATGCTGTGTCTTCCTGTTCTCCTTATCTTTGGCTGTGATGATGCACAGCTCTCTCCTATTTCTTTTTCTTGTGGGTTTGTGAGGTTTCCTTGATGTTTGTGACAGGCCACGATAGGGGAAGCTTTTATCACTGTGGGGTTTGGAGGCCTCAGTAAATTGAAAATTGCAAATGAAATCCACTGGGCTTGAATTCATCAGCTATTATGTCAGATGACCTTTGGCAGCTGCTGATAAAAATGAGAGAATGTTAGCTCTGATCCAATTTTCACCACTAACCATTCCTTTTCAAATCCATTCACAGCCAGGCAGCAGACACATGGGAAGTGAAAATGATAGGGTTTCAAGAGAGCTGCATTGTATTGCAGATTAAGATTTTTTTTCTCCCCCTATTTCTAGAGGTCGGCCCCCAGGCCTCTGTCTGGTGTCTACCTATTGTCCAATCAGTTTCAATATCTGCTTCAGAGGACATGCTAGCCATCCTTACAGATAAGTGCTTACAGGAGAAAATGTTGGACTTAATAGTTTTGCTTCGGAAGCACCAAGGGTCACAGTGTACCAATATTGACTGGCACATGTTAGTTTAATCTGACATCCTTGAGAATGTGACACTAGATTCTTTCAGAGTTGTTGATCTCTGGGAGGTTCCTCTTTTCTCTTATTGTGTAGCTGTTGTTACCAGCTCTGGGGTTCTATAAATGTTATTAGCCCATGATAACTATTTATATTCATGAGTCAGTGATAGTCTAAAATGTCTATCCAGGCAAGACAGGTATGACCTTAAGCTTGCAGCTGGTTACATATATATCTCTTAAATTATAGGAACTTACTTATAAATATGCTGGTGTGGTTAGGATAGCATAACAATTGTAACAGCATTCCCCCACCCCCAAATTGACTGTTCCCTATTGAAAATAATAGAATAAAATAATCATATGATGATAGAAGACATATTTTCATCCAACTCCAGGTTAATATAGGAAAAATAAGTGGACATTTCTTCTCAAATATTGTTATTTCAAGAGGTGCAAAGTTACTAAAATTGTTTATCCTTATATTTAAGGTCTCTCAAAAGTATCCATGAGTCTTTATATATGTGTGTATAATATTGTGTGTGTGTGTGTGTGTGTGTGTGTACATATATATCCACATAAAATAATTCTTTATCACTGGATCTGATTATGGTCCATGAAATTTTCTTCCAAATGAAATGCAAAGAGAAAATACTTTTAGTACTGAGGAACTTTTCACACATTCCCCTGAATTGCCTGTTAGAATTCTGTTTTAGTACTATGATGCTAAACCTTGACAAACAAAATAATTTGTCCCAAAACCATTTTTTAAAAGACAGCCTTAATGGTTTTCAAACTTTCTATTCATTTCTTCATAAGCATATTGAGGGTGGGAAGATTTTATATGATGGACCAGTTAAAAGCCCATTGCCTGCCATTGCTATTTTTCTCTGTAGCATGCAGCTGTAGGGGACTGCTAGGTCTATTCTAGGACAAAGTCTTAATATAACAGGGTAATGGTTTGGGCAAGTATGGTATGTCTGGCTAGTGCCACATGTACCTGTCCTTATAACGTGGTTTAGAAATGTTTGCAATGCAGCTGTTGTTGGAAAAGATTTCCTTAAAGAAAGTCATGTTGAGATCCTCTGAGCTGGAATGTACAATTAGGTTGTGCTTTGTTTTTCTTTTTTGAAAAATGCTCCATTATACTGCCCTGAATTAACATAATTCACATATGGCAGTTTAGTATAATGTGCAAAGTATCTGAATTCCATCAGATTTTTTTGCAAATATATCT